CCCCCCCCCCCCCCCAGCTGGTAGACTTTCTCCCATTGACTTGCATTTCCATGTGCATTGAATTGCATGGATTGATGAATAATGTGACAGGAGTCTTGGGTTCCTGCGGAGCACTATGATAGTGCACTTCTCTGCACCGATTCTGTAACATGTGAAACGCTGATGGCAGGTCCAGGATTGGCAAACACTGACTATGTCATATACATATCTGCTTACGTGAGTATTTTGCCCCTATCTTTTCTTTTGGCATTTGAACTCTAAGCCTCTCTGTCTCCTTCAACAAAATGACTAGACAATTGTGATAAGCTTGTTGCTTGAAAAGCTACCAAATCGCTTGATTTCAGTCACAGTTTGTTGACCCCACATGTATCAGCTCTCTTGGTGCACTGTTGAATGAAATGTATTGTCCTTTTGGTTGTGGTTGATGATGCTCTATCACATGACATCATAACATGCGCCCTTATTGTCGCTTGGCAGAAGGGGTCAGTGCTTGGGGAAATGAATGACACCCTCATCCTACCCTAGTTGTCATTGCCATCCTCGTTGTTGTAATCTTCTTCTGGTCCTGCTTCTGCTTTTTTGGTTTCCCTTTTTGAATTGGCATCTCAGGCAAAGGTGGCGAATAGTGTGGAAGGGGGAGGGGAGTATAATGACAAAAGAATTCTTCTTCTTCTTCTTCTTCTTCTTCTTCTTCTTCTTCTTCTTCTTCTTCTTCTTCTTCTTCTCCTTCTTCTGCCCTCAGGGCCTTTGCAGAAATGCCCCTGGTACCGTACGTGTCACCGGTACTTATACCGGCTCCCCGTACGGTACGGGGACCAGTCTCGTACCAGTTTCCAGCTGCTGTACTCGTACTCCGTGGGACTTGCTGTTTCGGCATTCGGGAATCCAAGACTTCGACTTTGTGCCCTTGCCACTGTGTCTGCGTCCGACCCTCAGTCGAGTCGAGTGAGTGAGTGTGTGTGTGTGCCCTCATTCTCTCCCTCTCTCCCTCTCTCCCTCTCTCCCTCTCTCTCTCTTCTCCCTCGGCTCTCCCTCAGCCTCGCGCGCGTTACATCAGCGCTCATCATCCAACCGTTCAATCATTCAATGTTATATACTGGCATACATGGCACCAGAGATGAGCATTTGTTTTTTGAATTGGCACTTCACCCAACCCGCCCACATGTTTTGAAGTACAGTCCACCCTCAAAAAAAAAAATAAAAAAAATATCAAGGTGATCCAACCCACCCAAGTGTTTTTTTTTGAAATTTTCCTCCTACACCCAACCCGCCCGTCACCCGTAAAAAACCTTCACCCTGACCCACCCACACCCGCAAGAACAAAATTGCCTACCCGTACCCGGTAGCTAATTATTTTCCACCCGGACCCACCCGCTCCTCATTGTCTCAGTCCCGTTGAACATTTACACACACCATAGCAACATGACATCCTTGGATGACGGCGCAAAAATTTGAAGCATTTCCACCTTGCGCCGTCCTTGGATGACAGCACGAAAATTCAAAGCGCTCCACAAGTTTGAAATTGGGGAGTGAACCTTGGCTCTTGCTGTGGTTAGGCTCAATCCCCGTTGTTTTAATGGGAGTGAGCATCCCATTGTTTGGGTCATGGTCCAGCTGTCACCGGTAGAGTGTGGCACATTTTTTCAAGGCCCCCAATTCGATTTGCCACTGACGCGGCTCTTTTTTTGCGAGGACCAGAAGTTTTTTTTTCCAGGGGGCCCGAGGGTGGAGTCTTTCCGTTTCCTGGGCCTCCAACTTTTGAAGTCCCCAGATGGGCCGCAGCTGGAAAATATGTATGAGGGGGAGGTGGGGGTTGGGGTGGAGGGTTCTTATGGGTTGTCCCGGGTCTGTTGGTCGGGTGACCCAGGCCTAGCGCTCACCTGCCTGTCACCCACCCATTCGGGTAACCCAGGCCTAACATTGACCCGCCCATCACCCACCCAGGCTTGCTCGCCTAAACCCACCCTCATCTCACCCATGCCAGCTTATCAAGACCCACACCTGACCCAATGCCTTGTGGGTGGCGTGGGGTGCGGGTGGGTGTGGGTCTGGGTACCCGTTACTCATCTCTGCATGGCACTCTATTGCTGCTTTTCGCCATCGCCATCTCTACCGTGCGATGTGTGGGCAAGAAGCATTCAATTTTGCGGCTTGGCCCTTGGAATGCATCGATCCTACCCTTTATCATACGCCTGGAGGCCTTGTTGATAATGCCCTCTTTCTGCAAGGCTGCGCCGCTGCTGCACCCCGCAAGGGGTTCTGGGTTCGAAAACTTCGAACTCTTCACAATGCAGTCCTACCAATGGCAAGAATGTCGTCTCCACGACAACACTTCCCCCCTAATTGTTGGACACAAATGGGCCGTCATCGCCCTCGACCTCGTCATGCCTCAGCTCCTCCTGTTTCCCTCCCTACCGCATCTATTGCTTCTCCATACGTTCCTGCATCAGCTGATCCTTCTCACACAGCACCCCTCTTACCAACACCCCTTGGTTCTCATGCTGCACCCCTTTTATCGACACCCCCGCACTGCTTACCTCTTGCCAACACCTTCGGTTAGGTTATTTGCTGTTGATTTTTGTCCGAGTCCCGAACTTGTACCTCACTGCATCAACTTCTCACTGGAGCTGCTTCGGGTAATTGGTGTCGTGTCAAGGTTGATATTGCAATGACTTTACAACAATGTCTCCAATGCGGACATGGCAAGAGACATTCGAGAACTCGAATGCCTCATTCGAAAATCCCAACATACTCGTCAACGTTACACAACACAACCTCGTGACCCATTTACTGACCACATAAAGGTCGTACATGTCCATGAGGTAGTTCGTGCCACAAACTTGCGCCATGTGTTACAATTGTGGGATGTAGTTGCATTGCACCCTGACCCTCAAACAGCCACACATGTTCGTGTATGTGACAAACTGATGCCAATCACGTGTGTCCAGTTTTGTAACTCCATTGATGTGGCGTTGAGTTTTACTCTTGGCATAACCTTTCGTGACTCCGCAAATTGCAAATGCCGCAAAGCCTTTCCACATTGTTCTGATCTTGTGGATGACCATCTTGTGGTTGTTTACTACAATATCATCTCTGATGATAGCCTTCGCAAGATTTTTCAAGAAGGCTCGAAGTATCGCCTGGATGGACAAACTGCTGATGCGCTGCAAGCACTGACAATTGGACTTGAAGAGTACATTGCCAATTACAAAAGGTTATTGATCAGGCATTATCGATCTACTTCTTTCTCATCTCTTTCTCAGAAATTGAACAACTGGCGCTCTGCAATCCTTGCACATTATCAATCTAATGCAGCCTCGTTGTCCAATCATGTGAGCCAGTCACATTCACTTCGTTCTACACATGCCTCCTTACGTCATCTTCAACAACATGTTGTCGTTGTCCATATGGACAAAACATCGCACAATTTTGGAATTTGCTGCAAAAATTGGTATCTGTTTCATCTCTCCACCCATTTGGATAGTCCCACTTATACTTGTCCTCATGAATCCCTTGTTGATGTCCTTGACCGCCATGCAATATGGAATCACCATTGGGGCTACACCCACACTAATACCCTGCTTCACCTCTACCACGTGCTCAAAGCTCACAAATCTCATCCATCTCTTCGCAACATTCTTAGAGCCACAACACACAATAGCAGTGTTGTTCCCCGGCGTGCTCGCCCTCCTGCGACAATTTGCACTATTCATGAATGGCCTCATCACAAACCTTTGGCTAGCACAACGACTACTTCGTCGTATCTCAACGCTTATTTGCAAGGCGTGATATTTACTCTTCGTAAGAAAGATATCGAGCTCTATCAACAAGTTGGTGTTCGGCGGTCTATCCTATTATTATCTGATGGTAATTCTCTATGTCTACTCTTCGTTGCTAATTTCATTATGTATGATATCGTTCAAAGTGTCGATGAAGTGGCGATTGACCTGAAAAACAATGCATTGTCTCTTCATGGCCTTTCTCCTCGCAGTATTGATTTTACCACAAGGTAGACCAACCTTCCTCATGATCGCATTCTAAATAACGTGGCAAAAGTTGTTGATGAAGCCCATGCTTATGTGCTTTGGCATACTCGCACGCATTCTCACTGTAGAGCCCTGAATTGAGGACCTCATTGTGGCCAATGGGCAACCCATTTGGGTCTGAACACCATTTTCGTTTCACAGATTCTCGACCATCTTCACTTTGTTATACAAAACATTTTTCTATACATCAGAGATAGCACACTTCGAAAGCAAATTATTGGTATTCCAATGGAACAAATGCTGGCCCAAAAATTTTCAAAGTCGCTCAACAGTACGCCTTCACTTATCGCCTTATTGATGATGCTCTTTCATGGGGGCAATTACCTCCTCCTCCAGAGCACTATGGACTTGAGTAAAAGGAAACTACAACGACAAATGGCTCGTGTACCTTCTTACCTTTTTAGGTATGCATCTACGGGTCCATTTTGATGACTCACTTCACAAGAGCGTGTTTGATAAAGCGGATGCTTGGGATTTTCCCTCTTTCATTATCAAAGTGCGACCTCCAACATCCCTTCCCATCAACCAGCGGGTGTGTTCACTAGACAATTGACCAGATTTGAACAAACCTGAAACAATTGATAGGACTTTCAAATTGCGGCCACAACACTTACTTGTCGCATGCTTTCGCATGGGCATTCCCCACTGACCCTTGCTAACAAGTGGACCTGCTACAAGCGCTCCTGCCAACGTCGCTATCCTACACATGTGACTCGTCTCTCTCTGTGGTTTCGACACATGCTGTGATGGTCCCTACATCTCCCACTTTCTGCTTTGCCTCCACGTCGCTCTTGTCTTACTCCTGCTTGCTCATTTGCTGCTACTGCACTTTCCATCGCGGTTTTCGCTATCGCAGTTTCCACTGCTATGGTTTCCACTGGTGCAGTTTCCACTATTGCGGTTCCCGTTGTTGCATTTTCCACGGCTGCAGTTTCTACAGTTCCGGTTCTCACTCCGGCATTTTTTGCTACTGCAGTAGTTTTTGCTGCTGCAGTTTCCTCCGCTACGATTTCCACTGATGAGGTTTCCACTGCTGCGGGTTCCATTGTTGCGGCTTCCACTGTTGCAGTTTCCATCGCTACAGTTTCTACAGCTCTGGTTTTTACTCCGACAGTTTCTGCTACTACAGTTACTACTACAGCTTCATCCGCTGCAGTCTTCAGTACAACA